TTCCCGTGATTTTAAGCCAAGAGCCATTTATGTTTTGGGTAGATTCCTCTGAAAGGCTCTTGGTCTCACTTAGGTCTGTAAGAATTTTCATGATCAAGACTGGAATAATGGCATCCAAGCCTAAACCCTGGATCTAGCTACTCTTTGCCCTTGTGCCAGTTACACTTTGGTAACTCTGGGGTCTGTTTGTTTATCTTGCCAAGCAGGGGCCTAGCAGGACTGAAATGCCTTCTGCTCTTGGTGATCTGCTCTTAGTTGCAGAGGTCAGGAGAGTCAGGTAAAATAAACCCTGCAGGTGCAGCAACAATTCATGTCCACTGCTTGGCCTGTGAAGATTCTGCTCATCTCCTGATCTCCTGAGAATCTTATCTAATCCAGCAGTGATGTCACTGGATTGGGGGTTTCTTTTTTGTCTGCATTTTTGTTTATTTGTTTTGGATTTTTAATTTTTTTAAAATTATGGTAATGGTCCTTGAAAAACTTTGATGTCTTCACAGCTTTGAGATGACAACAGAAGTTCTTTGGCTAAGGTTGTCCTTTGATCTTCACTATTCACTCCTGCTTTTGGCAGTTTGCGTGGGAGACTGTGTGCGTCAACAGTGGCAGAATTGTTGTTTCCCTCTGCTGAAGGTGACCAAAAATGTTTTGCTTGTCCGTTAAGAAATCACTTTAAGCAGATCAGTGTAATGAGATTCTGAAGCCATATGGCACTGGAATTAGTGCCTTCTAGTGCAGGACTGCCTGTTGTAATTGCAACAGTGCTGTACACTACAAGGAATTTCAAGAACAGTGATGTTTTTTCCTCTGCTTGTTCCTTTAACTCCTTGGGGTTTAAAACCATGTCTGGGATGTAGTCCTTTATTAAAAAAAGGAGGGAGAAGAAGTCCTGGTCTGCTTTTTATTAGTTGGAAGAAAATAAATGAAAGTTAATAAAAATACTAGTTTCTGTTTTCTAGCTGAACACTGGGATGGATGTTACCATTGCACCAAGAGTGCTCTAAAAAGAAAGCTTTGTGTCAAACTACTGAAATGCCTCATGGCTTATCAGATTCATGATCTGGAAAATGGGAAGGCAGAAGGAAGACTATTGAGGTATATGCAAAATGAAAATTTGTTTCAGCATAGCTATCAAAGATTAGTTCAAACATCAGATAAAACATCATGAAATAAGAAAATGTGAAGCTGGGGTTTCAGGGAAGAAATATAGATTATTTTCTTAGCTTCTGTGTGTATTTATAGTGGCATAGGATTTAGATTACTTATTTCTTAGATTTGTGGAATACTACATACATTGATGGGGGGAGCTTCTGGTCTTCATGAATAAATAAGATACCTTTGCTGTTGGGTTTTTATGTTTTGACATTTCTAAAAAGTTGGTGGATAAGGGCAGTAATTTTTTCAGTCTCTTCTACACTAAACTTTCTTAGTGGTTCTTACAAGGCTCTGATGGAAAAGTGATGCCTGTTTCCCCTCAATTGCTTTAATGACTCTGTGGGGTAAGTTGCAAACAACAAGTGTTTTACAGTGTTTTCTAGCTGCCTCATTTGCACTTGCAGCAGAAGCAGATTTCTCGTCTTCCTTCCTCTGACACATAAATGCTGTTCCTAAACTCAAATCTTGATTCTTCACAAGAAATTATGTCCCTTGGGCTCAGCATCATTGAGATCCAACATGTTTGTTCCATGTTTCATGCTTAACAGTGATACCAACCATCACAGCACAAGCATCTTGTTTCATGAGAAGAGGCATGTGACTTAAACAGATTTAACAGCTGACTTTAAATTTGTTGCCCTCCTCTGGCCACACAGTCATGGCAGCAAGCACTTTCCAGCAAGCATCAATTCCAAGGCAAACTGGTATTTCTACTGAAACTAGGAACCAGTGCAGTTCTGCAGGCTGTCTTGGATAATGGCATCTGAGGATATCTGGGTCATGGGTTGTGGGGTGGGGTTTTTTTCTTTCTTTATTTTTTTTTGTGTGGCTTTTTTTAATTTTTAATTTCTGATGACACTTTCTTACATTTATTTACTTGCTTATTCATTGACAGACCAACCCAGATTATGTTTCTAGGCAATGCTGGCAATCCATTACCAGGAAATATCCTCCTCCTTAGATTTTCCAAACATTTTGCTATGGTTGTTTGAAGCAGCAGGAAGGTAATACACTTCCATTCTGAATGATTATGGAGAAGACCCAGGGAAGCATGCTTACCATTTTCTGTACCTGTTTCCTGCACTACAACCTTCTGCACGCAAAGAGCAGTAACTTGCTTTCAAAAAGGTACCTTTCAGCTAATGGAGGAAATTTGTGAATTCTCCATCATCCACACTGTGTGTGCGTTTGGTAACATGTTACGTAAAAGAATTTCTGCAAGGCAGCTCTCTGCAGCTCCTGTGCAGATACAGCCAAACCAATGCAGAAGAGGTAATTTGTGTGGTAGGAAACAAGGTAGGTCTCAGTGCTCTTATGTCCTGTTTTCCATATGTGTCAGGAGAAGCTAGCCCAGCTTGTGAATAGGAATGCAATGAAACTTACAGTAGAGCAAGCAGATCCTTCTGTCCATCCATCCCAGCCCTTGCATCACAGAACTCAGTCCCTGAGGTGACCTTTATGTGCCTTGTTGCTAAATGTGTAGCAGCTGCAGTCAGCTTATTTTTCTGTCTGGAGCTGGGTGATGGCAGTGCTACCCCAGTCAGCAAAGGTTTGTATTTAGCATTGTAATAGATCAGGCTTTCCTAGGGAAAGACTGGGAAGTTATTTTAGATCATTTCCCTTTTGTGTGCTGTTTGGCTACCTGTGCATCCAAAGCTCACACATGGAGCAGATTTTTTCTTGCATCCATTTCCAGCATCAAGTCTCCCCCTTGGAATACAGCATGTCACAGATTCTCCTGTTGCAAATCCATGTGGGTACCCATGGGAAACAGTGTTCACAAGGAAGGGTGGCAGACAGAAATGTATTTCCACAAATGCTGGATTCTCCCTCATTGTTCACCTCTGTGTGTCAGACATGAACATATTGTCAGAAAAGTTTATTTGCCAAGATATATCACGTTTGTCCGTGTAAGGAAGGACACCTTGAGCCCCTGTAATCAAAGAAATGAGGGAGGAAATGTTTAAAGATAAAACTGCAGGGTTGTGTTTCTAGTTTTCTTATCCCATCATGAAAGTTTTCTACAAAGTATTTCTGCCTTCTGTACCACTGCTCCCCCTATCTGTAAAATATTGCTGTCACCTAGAGATTTCTCTATGGAATCTCTAATAAATATTTTACGAATGCTAATGAATCAGGTTATTCAACTGCTCAGTACTTCAATGTTCTCACTTTGCAGGCAGGATTTTGACAAAGACAAAGAACAGGAGAGCGAGCAACTTCATGCCACATAGCAAATTTGGAGGTGAGGGTAGTAAAAACTTTTACCTTTAAGAGTGGAAATGTCCTTTATAGCATCATTTCATCAAAAGAAGAGGTTCTGAGACTCAGTTCTCAAGTCTGGTAGCTGTTTGACTATATGGCCAGTTTGTGTGTGCGGGGTTAGGAAGCTTAAACCTCTCTCCCTGTGTGGCTGAGGCAGCAGAGCTGGCAGAGGAGAAGTTGCAAGTTCGTGGAATGGGAAAGAAATAGGGGTGGGTGAGTTGATTTCTGTATATTTCAGTTTACAGGCATTCAGAGCAGTCCAGCCAGTTATTCAGCATTTTAGTTATGGTACCATAGGAGGCTTTTTGCTCCTGAGCATCTTTGTCCTCTCTAGGTCATTCACTAATTTAGATTAATTAGCCTTCTGCTTTCCCACTCCATGTCCAGGGATCAGCTGTGATCTGAGCAGGCCACGAGCTGAACTCTGTATGTTCTGGCACTAGGTAAAGTGCCAACAGGTGTTAGTGACTGAGGCAGAGGAAGGCAAAGGTTCTCAGTCTGTGTGTAAAATCCTTGCAGGAAACTCATACTGTGCTCAGGTCACTGCACTTGAGCTCTGGCTGGCAACTCAGCCCTGATTCATTGTGTTCTCATTGCATTCTTTGCACTGTCACCAGTGCTGGCCTTGTGCCTGTTATGCATCTCCTGGGCAGTCCCCTGCCGATCCTAGGGAAAGGTCCTTTTTAATTCACTGTATCAGAATTGAATGCTCTCTGCACTCAGTTTCCCAATAACTAGTTTCTTCATACGGCTCTCTAACCAGTGGTTTGTGTTATAGTAATTGTTAAATGGGAAAAAAAGTCAGCTTAAATATCCAGCCCCTTCAGAGTGGGATTTCTAAATGTATGTTTCAAATATCTGGTTTTGGTGTCTAACTAATGGATCCAACTTCTTTGTTTAAAAAAAATTAGCTGGGGGGTTGCACAGCTAGCAGAACATGTCTGCCAGCAATATTTCCCTTGTCCTCCATTTGCTACTCTGTTCATTTCGATTATCAGATCTTATGAGCAGGGACTGTGCACAGCAGCAGAGGGCTTTTCTGTACAGTTGCAGCCTCCCAGTGCCACTGCCAGACGTGTGAGTAATTGGTTGAGCAGCTCTGCAGAGCAGTCTCCTTGCACCGTCCAAGCTGAAATGCAGAAATAAAAAAATCCATTCTCAGAGATGAAGAATCATAAAATCATAAGCCTGAAAGGGACCAAAAATCATGAAGAGAAACCTTTTCTCAAAGAAAAAAATTTTGCAAACATATCTGGCATGCTTATTAAGAGTAATTCTGTGATCTTGCAATGTGCTTCTGGGATCTTCTCTCTTCATTGTTGCTTATAAGACAGCTTTAAATTAATGATAAGGAAGCCATTCAGGGCATGGGCTGTGCTGAGGTTCACAGCTTTCATTCTGAATGAGAGATTAAAGTAAACTGATATTGAAAGCAAGGAGGGAGAAACAAACACAGTCAGTAAGCCTGTAAAAGTCTTAGCCAATTGCAATGGTGAACATCCTGCTGGCGAGGGTGACCTTGAATGAACTAAGTGGGATAAAGTCACCAGGCTGGACTGACGGCTGAAGAATCAGGCTGGATTCCAGCAAACAGGGAGCAGATTCCTGACAGGAGTCTCCTGAGCTGGGGCAATGGCTTCTCGGTGTCGGAAATGTGGACAACAGGTACCCAGGAATCTGCCTTTCACTGCTGTCCGGATAACAGAAGGAGAAATGAAATCTTATCATGATTTTATAGGAGGATGCATTAGACTGGAGCGCATGGCAAAGAAAGGTATGTGCAGCATCTTTAAACAAAATAACATCTTGTAGTGGTAATTGCATTTCATCCCCAGGCAATTTGCAAAAAAGAGATTATATTCTTAATGCTTTCTCTGAGGAGTCAGTGATAATTAAAGACAAATGGCTGGATTTGGGTATTAACTCAGGTGTGACTGCAGCATTTGACTTGGCTACATTTCTGGGATATTTGCAGTGATTTGACCTAAAGGAGGTTAAAATGAATGCTAGACTCATTCTGAATAAATATTTATTTCATTCAGGTGTTAGACACTGAGTTTTCTGTATAAGTCAGGAGTAGGTGTCTGTGCATGGAAAATACTTTTTAAAAATAAATGTAAAGAGCTGGAGCAGTGGGTGTCATGACCCAGCTGAGCCTGTCACCCTGTGCTTCTAAATTAATGTGTGGAAGGTCAATATCTTCCTTTCTGTAAAGATTTTGGTTTGACTGTATTTAGAAAGTTGCACAATGGAGCTTCTTGTGCTCTGTGTGTCAGCTCAGGTACAGGGCAGTATTCCACTCTCAGGGGGGTTGCTAGTATAAGGTACTGGTGCCTAGCAATTTGTGCTAACTGCATGTTAACTCTGAAGAGGAGTGATGCAGTTGAAATCTAGGCTGTTGACTGTCATTTCATATATCAAGATTGCTGAATCATAGAACACTTTTTCTCTATGTCATTGAGAGGAAGATTTTTTAAAGAGCCCCCTTTCATTTACCCTGTTAACTTGAATAAATACTTAGTAAACCTCAAATCTAGAAATTTATAACATGTTCACTAGTACATGATGAAGATTGCCAAAAGCATGCAATATGATAATACTTGGAAGATAAATTGTTTATTATGATTCAATTATCTCTTCAGCAAAGAGAGTTGCATTTGATCTGGTAAATCGAGAATATTCTGTAGAAAAAGAGGTGGACCAGAAGCAGGGTATCAGCTGCAGCCACTGCTCACAAACTGGGGTTTGCAGATGCTTTTTTTAATAGGGCTCTAACACACAATGTCAGGGTTTGAAAACTGCAAAGCCAGTCCATTGTACCTCTGCTTCTGTGGGTGATCCATCCATGCTGATCTTTGGGCTCAGTGCCTACCTATGCATTGTTGTATTTGGCTGACCTTTCAGTAACACTGATGTTTCCAGTTGCACTCTTTGTACTGAGGCATTCCGAGTTCAGTGTAGCAGGGCAGAAATGTCTGGTGTCCAGTAAAAGACAGTGGAATTCATTGAAGTTCCTTCCTGAATGTTTGATCGGGTTGCTTATGGCTTTGTGGGCCTGTGGACCTGATGGAGGCAGAGCTCAGGCATCTGCTGTTCTTTTTCTTCCTGTAGTAGAGAGGGGAAGAGACTGGTAAGGACTTTGCCATGGTTACTGTTCCCAGGGAAACACCTTCTCTGCCTCTCATGTTGAGAGACTACCTGGCATAGTATTATGGGTGGAAATCCCTTGGAAAATAATTTTTTGCTAGAGAACAGAGAGCATGTCAGATCAGCCTGAGCCTCTTGTCATTTTGCGAGGCAGAAAACATCTTCACCGCTTTAGTATTAAATTCTGCCAGTGAAGCTGCCGGAGGGGCAGAAGTTCAGTTGTTGCTGAGGACAAGGTGCCTTCAACTGTGGGTATTGGAGCTTGTGTGAGTTGTGAAAACACACCAGGGCAGCTCTGTGTATGGTGACAGTGTTAGAAGGGAGCTGAGGAGTGGCAATGTGGCACAGGATTTCTTGACAACACTGCCTGAGTTGTTTTCTCCTGCTCTGAACTGACTCTGATCTTGTGTTCATTGTGGGGGTGTTTTTGGCCTGTGTTTTCTTGTCTGTAAAACAGGAGTGGGAATTATCTGCCTCCATAAAAAGTGGATCCTGATGATGGAGTTATAACTTCATATTACTACTTTGATGATTAGACCAGTTTTCCTTAGTTGTCTGTGCTGCATAAACACATAGGCAGGAACATTATCTGTCCCAGAGAACTTGGATTCTGTCTGCCCCACCCAGTCCTACAAGCAAAGACTCATTGACTGCCTTTTTCTCAGGCTGACTTTCTCTGAACATAGTGGCAGTGCAGAGGATCCCTGTGGCATGTTCTGACTTACCATCACTTTAGGAGGAGATACCCTTTCTGCAGTTTAAGGGTCAAGCTGGAGTGTTGCTAAGGTCCAATTGGCTGATGTTTACTCAAGCAAATTTACTTCAAGCACTCCAAAATACGGAGCAATTTTCACCTTGTCCATCCCCAAGACACACATACAGACCATGCCTGTGGAGCCCTTTGAATATTCTGTGGCAATTTTATCTTGTGTATTAGATATCATAATGAGAAGATACAGAAGACTGGCTCCTTGCAACAGGCTATATGAGCTGCCTACAGGCACTGAAGGGCCCTCTGGGCTCTGGTGTACAAGTGGTGCTATTTTGAATACCACTATGTGACCTTGAGACTCTGGGAGCTGCAGCTCCAAGGTGCTGGTTATAGCACAGCTATGAGAACCAAAGGGAAGGAGCCCCCAGAAAGCCAGGCAGAGATGTGGCAGGGACTCCAGTCCAGGGCTGATCATTGCTGGAGTGCTCTCAGCTCCTCACCAAACAGATACTGAGGCTGAAAGCAAAGCATAGCCTCTTGCCATGAAATACATCACTCTTGGACAATGGCTCACGTGTTTTTTCTGCATGGACCTGACAATTTCTGTCACTCAGCTGCTGGTGAACATCTTTAATGCTTGAGGAAACCTCTTGCCAAACCAGCCCCTTTGTCCCCAGATGATCCTAATTAGCCTGTCTTGTTGTGATGCTCAAGTCCTTCAATGAGATCATACACCTACGGCGGTTTTACATGGATGAATGATCCTGTGCTGGCTATGACTATGTCTCTGCATGCTGTGGAGCTTGGGGCTGCAGCAGATTTTATATCTTTAAGGGAATAAATGTGTGTTTTTCATCTGCACTCAAGGCTGGTGGCTGCTTAAATCAGGGTAGTGAATCTGCAGACACTAAGGAGTATGCAGTTTATTATTGAGGCTTTTCAGGATTTTGCTATTACTGCAAAACCAGGCAAGAGGCTTCTTGCCAGTAGGATGGGGACCTGTCTGTTGTGCTGGCAGTGTTTCTGCTTTTCTCCTCTGTAGGAGAGAGGAATGCTGCAGTTTTGTCTGTCCAGCAATCATGGGAACTTGTTCTCAGTCTTACTGCTGTGTCTCTCTTACTGCTGGAGTTGAAAACCAATTCTTCAAATCTGTATGTTCAGGGAGAAAAAGGGGCTGAAGTGCTGGAGTGGTTAAGGAATTCTAGTGCTATCTCTGGAAGGAAATCCTATCTGAAATTAATTTGGGCTGAAATTTGTTGGCCTTTTTGGAGCTTCTCCACCTTTAGTAGTAAAATAAATGAGAAATACTCTCCTTTTTCAAATGACTGACTTTTCCACAAAGGTGCTGGTTACTGGAGAAAGTGACTATTTCATGTGAAGACCAAAATCTGAAGTATAAGTGGAAGGTATTTCTAAATCCCTTGAGACTCGGTCATAGAGCCTCCTTGTGCATTGCTCAAAATTGTTCTGGTTTTATTTGAATTCAGTATTTCTTTTTCTCTTTAATAAAAAATGCTACCTAGGGGACCTGGGATAACTTTTTTCAGCTGGCTCTCATTGCATATTAAATAGCTGAAATAAAATATTCTGTTTTCCACAGAGGTTTTTCTGAGAAAAGATGATTGTTTTAGATGCTTGGGTTTCTTTTCACCTGTTCCCATTCATATGCAGTGTGCTCTGCTGTGGTTGAGAAATACTAAAACCCAGTTTACCTAAGCAAAAAGTCCAGACAATTGTAAGAAAAATAGGGAAGGCACAGCTTGATTTTAATTTAAAAGAATTCTGAGAGAGATGTAGTACTGCAAAGATCAAGAGAAAAAATCCTCAGAGGGCAAGTTATAGCAGAGACCTTGTGGGTATTTATGTTTTTCCCTTTCTCCCATGATACCAGAACAAGAAACAATTTAGTGAAATGGGAAGGCATTAAACATGGATAGACAGATTGCTATAATTGGCAATGTTTTGTTAACTTGTGGGACTTATTACCACAATATAATGGTGCAGTTTGTTGGTTTTTTTTTTTATTATCTAATTGTAGTGTAAACTGCCTGGGGAGAAGATTTCAGGGGAGAATGGTGCTAAGTATGCTGGGAGATTGGAGAGTGCCTGTGCAGAGCTCTCACCCTGGTTATGCCCACAGAACTTATTCTCCAAATTCAGCCAGTTCTGCTTCTTCAAGCCCCACTTAAAGACCCAATTCTGCTGTGCTAATGTATTGATTTTTTTATACAAATTATACTGCTGCTTTATTATTTGAATCTTGCGGTGGATTAGTCTGGCCAGTGAGTTTTCTAAGACATGTACTTTCTTTCTTCACCACCTGCACATTGTCTACTAGAAATACTCAGGACCAAGGATAAAGGAATAATAAATAAATGCTTGGTTGAAGCAGCCCAGCTATATATGAATATTTGGACTATGCCAAGTGTCTCGTTGCACAAATTTCTGATCCTATTAGTTGATTCCAGTTTTCAAGGGGAAGAAAAATCCTCTAAGCTTTTATGACTGACAAGAATTATTGACCAAACGTTTTTTTCCCACCTTTTTCTAAGCTGGAATATCCCAGCATTTTTTTTTTTTTAAATTTTATTTTTTTTGCACAGAGTCAATGCCTTGTTTATATTCAGAACCTGTGCCTATGAATCATTAAACTGGGGATTGCTCAGTTTAGGCTACTTGTCTAAACTCCTGAGTCACTACCTTGAACCAGTATGCTTCTGGGGGTGCCTCTGAACAGGTCTACAGGAGTGAAGACCTGATTTTTAAATTGGGATACTGTTAATTAGTAAGGTCATCATTTGCTAGCATTGGGGAAAGCTGAGGTGAAATGGGAAGGGGTAAAGGGATACTGTGTTCCATTCCCCCTTGACTTTACCACTAGACTCAAAAAGTGACATATGTCAGTGAATGGATGA